GTTGCTGCATAAGGCCTGCTAAAGCATTTATAATGAACCCACAAGGGCGAGGTGAAAGTGTGTGTGTGTGCGTGTGTGTGTCTGCCCTGACAACAGGCCTGATTTAACCTTAAAAATGGAACAGTAAAGGGCATGACCCATAAATCAGTCAGTATATCTTCACATCAATACCTGACACTGGCTTTTGAACTGTCTTCCCTCCCAGCCACTGTGGACAGAAAGCAGAACAACTTTAAGACCTAGCACTTATTAGAAAGATGTGATAGCAATATTCTTTCACCTGGTTAATATCTCTCCAGATATACAAAAATAAGTACAAATGTTCCAATGACATGTTCAGAGCTTTTAAAGCTGCTTATTTTTTTTATTCACAACAAAAAGCAGTACATTTGTACAATAAGTACATTTAAAAAAAAAAAGATGTGTGCTCGCTTAAATTAAATACAAACACTATAAACAGGTAAAATGTCTTAAAATGTTAAGTATTGGAGTTTAAGCTCAGAGCAGTTAACATGTCAGGTAAAGTTTAAGCATCAAAAGTCTCTGAAGTGTTAGTCAGGTGTAAGTATTAAAAGGAGTTGAGCTGCTTAAAGCAGTTAAAATAAGTAACAGCTTGATTCCACCGAGCGTGGCTGCTGGAACTGATCGCAGCCATTCTAGACAATGCTATTTGTGTCAACCTATTGAGATGTCGACAATTGGTTTGTGGAGGACCATTCTGAAGCCTCGAGTTTCACTGTAACATTTTGTCGGGGCCAGCTGAGGTGACGTACTGTGCCGTTGAGCCGCTTTCATTGGCTGCACAGTTTCAACTCGTCTGTAACAAGAAACAGTAGTCAACACAGTAACAGAATCTGGATTCATATTTGATCAGCACTGCCTAGTTTGACAGTTTGAGAGTTTAGTGCGTTGAGCTGGAAGGACTCACTGACAATGACTTGTCAATCACAAGATAGCCACACCCTTAAGCATACCCTGTCTCCATAAGAATGCATGGTATTGTTTTTTATGGCAGCCAATGGAGCTGCTGGGCATTATATAGAACGCAGGTTTAAGACACTTCCGCCTTGGCTTCACTTCACAGACCTGGAAGCTCTGTTCACTATATATACACACACTATAAATACAATGGATCCACCGGAAGAACCACAACACGTTTTTGAAACGCCACGGAAGTGGTTAATTTTTTAAAAAATAAAACATCCTGTGCAGACTCTCAATATCGAATGGTAGAAGCACAAAAGTGTCTGGCAAGCAAGACTGTCGATGAAACAAAATTAAGTATAATAGCCTAGTAGTGTGAGATAAATAAATAACTAATTTATAAATAAATAGTTTTTCCCATTTTACTCTGTCAAAATGACATAAGCAGTGATTTGGTGATTCATCCAGTGTTGTGTTCTTTAAAATGCCCTTGAAACATCTTCTATAAAGTTAAACTCTCCAAACAGGACAAAAAGTACTCAAGAATATAAAGTATTTTTGTAATTAATGAACATAAAAGGTCTTTTCAAAAGGAGAAGATGAGTTAAAATGCCAGCCCTAACAGATACTCTTTCAGTCCAGTGAACATAGTGAGTTCTCTCTTCATATTTGGAGGTAGACTATGTATCTTTCATGCTAACTGTGCAAACCAAAGTCCTGTGACGAATGGGAAATATCAAACAGACTAAACGAGACTCAAAAACAATGATTTAATGTATTTTACCTGTACAGTAACTAAAACTGGAGCTTGATGCTAGCTGTCACTTTCCTGAGGAAACATTTGCTGTACAGGCAGATGATTTGTTGTTGTCTGCTTTGATTGAACTGCTTAAATGTTGTGATGTGATGAATGGGAAGAATTATAAGTGCTCTACAAATTTGGCCATTGCTGTAATTGTGTTAAATTTTCCGCTTCTCGTGACAACAGGGGATTTGAAAATGTATAAATTCTGGGTATATAACTGTGAAACTATAAAGATGGCTGTGAAATCTGTCCTTGTGTTCTACACGATACACACCTCATGCATTAATTCAATTCAATTCAGTTTTATTTGTATAGCGCCAAATCATAAGTTATCTCAGGACACTTTTCAAATAGAGCAGGTCTAGACCGAACTCTTTATAACATTATTTACAGAGACCCAACAGTACCACCATGAGCAAGCACTTGGCGACGGGGGCAAGGAAAAACTGCCTGTTAAAAGGCAGAAACCTAGGACAGATCCTTCGGCTCTAGGTGGGTGGTCGTCTGTCTCGACCAGTTGGGGTGAGAGAGAGAGAGAGAGAGAGGTAACGACAGAAGGACAGAGACAGAGACATGGGGGGACAGCAACAACAGTAGCAACAACTACACCAATAGTAGTGACTGACGGTGATAATGATGATGAACATGAAGAAGAAGATGATGCATTGGGGTCAGAAGACTTGACAGTCCTGTAACCATTGTGACCAGTGATAACACAAAAACAATATGATCAGGAAAATAACACATTATCATTGCAAAATGAGACCCAAGGAAAATGACACATTCACTCTAAAAACGACAAATAATAAAGTTCAGTTGACAGCACCCTCTAGTGGACTGAAGTTAGGTAACATTGTTATAGGCTAAACAAAGCACCTGACTTGAGACCCTGGAGGACTACGGAGGGAGCTAAGAAGAGAAAAGAAGAGGGAAGCCACAGGGCAAGAGTAAATGTGGGACTGGCCTTTAGTCATTGGTAAAATAAAAGGCTGGAGCCAGACAGCGAGCTGGCCTTCTTGCTGTTGGACTAATCAGTAGTAGCTGCTTGCGATGTCTGTCTTGTGTTGCTGCACTTGATGTTTGTCTGAAGTTGTCGACCCGCTAGTTTTTTGAGAAATGTAATGTAATGTCATTTCTGTTTTGGATCTATAATTTTCTCCAAATGATAAAACTTGGATAACAGGTTACTTAAAAGAAAGAAAATAAAGAAAATTAAGCAATCGCCTACTGCCTATATGACAAAACAGAGCTAATAAGGATGTGTTTTTGAATGTGACTTCTTTTAGTGACAGACTAAAGCCAGGATTTTTGGAAAAAAGTCAAAGGCTCACCTGCCATGAAAAAAGAAAGAGCACAGCATAGTAAAAGCAAATCCTCTTTGACAGAACTCAAGTACAGACTGTGATTGCTCCTGTTGTTTAGCCTTTTGCCTTTCTTCCTCCCTGCATCTGAGGATAGGGAGATGGCTTGAGCTCCTAGGACAACATAAAGGCTCTCCTCCCTGCTTCCACCTGGAACGATGCCCTCTCTTTGTGTTCATGACTGTTTTAAGGTTTTAAGGATATGTGCCCCTCTGTGTGTTTTTACGCCATCCAAGCTTGGCCATTTACATTTGCTTGATGTGAGATGAGTGCAAGGAGAGGTTTAGTACACAGCACATCAAGAGACTTCTGGTTTCCTCTCTTCCCCCTTCTCCATCCCAAGCAGCTTTCAAGATGCACTGTGTATGTGTGTGTGCAATGCACACATTCTGTTTGAGGGCTCTTAAGCCGAGGAAGTCTCTTCATCTATCCCACCACCACCAAAAATCTGCCTTTTTTCTGGCCTCTGCCTCAGATTTAATTTCACTTTAAGGAACAACAACAAGATATGGTTCTGTGTGAAGCGTGAGCCCTCTTTCACTCAGAACTACTCAATATTCTTCCCCTTTTCATTATCTTGTAGAGAGGCAATTACTTCAACATCTGGAAAAGATGTAGTCTTTCTTTTATGTTTTTTCTCAATGTTTTTTTGCACTCTCACCACAATAGAGAAAATACAGCATCAGGAACTGCTGATTTTAGGAGTATACATTCACTTTTCAAAGGGAGCTACTGCCACATATAGTTCCACGAGAGTATTATATAATGTGCTAGTCTGATTACCACATGCTAAAAAAGTGCCTTTTGTCAACCTATTCACAGGGCTGCCCCTCACCCTCTGGTGGTCCTAAGCAGAAATTTTACTAGTACTCACCCTCTTTTGTTTCTGCAGCTGTCAGACAGTACATACACAAACACTCTCTGGCTAGCTTGTGGCCATCCTGCACATAACTATGCACAGACAGTACTGCACTCACTTCAACATAAAACCAAAGTAATTTAACCAGAAATAAAGCAAATACAGTATGGTGAATAAAGTGGTAACATTTTTAGGTGATGACAAAAAGAAAAGTCTTGGAGTAAAGTGGAGAATTTAATTGTGCATGGACCGATTTTGCTGCTGGATTACCAGTATGCTTGATCTGGTAAATGGACCTGTACTTGGGTAGCACCTTTCTAGTCTTCTGACCACTCAAAGCACTTTTTTAATTTTTTATTTAAAATTATTTCTTTTGGCCTTTATTGTATAGTGACAGCTGAAGATAGACAGGAAAGTGGGGTAGAGAGAGAGGGGGGATGACACGCAGCAAGGGCCCGCAGGTCAGATTTGAACCTGGGGCCGCTGCAGCAACTCCGTAGATGGCTCGCCAGCTCTACCAACTGAGCTAACCAGGCACCCTCAAAGCACTGTGAAAATAAAAAATCTTTAAAATCTGTAACAAGAAATTTGCATTATAAGGCTCTAATACAATTTGCAGAATTTCAATAGTAAAGGTTGCTGACCACTTGCCAAATGGTACTAGTTGAGAAGGAAAAGTAGTCCAAATAACTGAATAAAAAGAAAAACAAGGTATCTAATTGGAAAACACTAGGGCAAATATCTATATTGCAAAGTGAGCATTGTAAGTCGTATACTAAAGGACAGCCAAGACAATACTGATTATATGAGCATCAGAACACAGAAGTGACAGAGAAAGTCTGTGATGTGGAGGACTCCTGCACTGACCATCAGTTACAGCCAGGAATGTTAATGTTGTGGTTTCTTATGTTCTATATCCCAAATATGATTATGATTATGGCGTAACAGGGACAAGAGTTCATGTAAAGGTACTTATTAATAGGTGATGTTAATGGCACAACCAGAAGTTAAATAAAGTCAAGTTTAAAAGGATCTTTTTGTCATGTCCTAGGCTATGTTGTACAAGGCTCAACTCATGGAGAAGGACATCTCTATAATGTACACAGCATATACTGGAAATCCTACAGCCAAGGACATCAGCCAAGCAGAAGAGGCTTCCATGAAGCAGCACCCTGTATTCGCTGACTTCATATACACAGGTGCGTTTCAAGTCTAAATCTGAAAAATCTGGTTTAGCGTCCTTTCACTATGGATGGCCATCACTTTGGTGTAAACTGAACTGATCTCAAAAACAACTGGATAGACTGCCATAACATTATGTACCACAGATGTGGACCCGAGGCACAAATTTGATGAATTTAGACTTGTCTTGACAAAATCAAAAAGGCCTTGCAACTTGACTTGGACCTTAACAACAATCACTCATGACTTCACTTGGGCTCGAAAATACGAAAATACAAAGATTAAAAAGTCTATTATTTACATAGTGTACCATGAGTTGGTTCATTTCTTGAATCAACTAATGTTAACACTATTCATTCCCAGCAAGTCAACACTTAATTCCCCAGATCCACTTTGTCCGACAGCATCCAATCAAGTTGCAGGACAGAACCATGAAGAACTAACGTTGTGTTACTGAGCACTAATGTTAGCTTAACAACTAGGTAAGCTAGCTAGCTAGTTACACCAATGAGGCTGGGAACTCATTGCTGCACTGTGGCAATCGGTTGCGTCCACTGTAAGGCCCCCATAGTTTTTCCATACCACAGGTTCCTTTTTGGCATACTTTGATGTTCACTCAAAATAAATGAAATGCAGAAATGTACAGTAGGAGATAATTAATGTGTTTTATGAACATTAAAGCATTCCAGTAGATGCCCCCATATAAAAGTATGAACCTGAAAAAGTGTATAATTGTCTATTTAGTATATTATTACAATGTTGTTACATTAGGTTTAGCGCACATCAGGGATGAGTACAACATCATCTGTATCTGTTCAACCAACTGAATTATCTGTATTCGTCAGAATGGGCAGGGCTTAAACCAGACGTGGGTGAGGCTTGGGCGGGACTGACCTGAAGTTGTTGATTTACGCCTGAAATTGATATTGGTTGATCAGAAGTTGAATATTTATTGAAAAACAGAACAGCCTCAGGATTGAGCTTCAGAGCAATGTTTTTGATTTTTACTATTTGTTTAAATAAAAGTTTCTATATACTATTTACAAGTACGGATATTGACATATTTAGTACTTGCTTATCTCGAGAGTGGCTAACGACTTGTTTGGGACTCAAAGTTTAGGACTTGGGGCTTGACTTGGGGCTTGAGTGCAAATACTTGGGACTAACTTGTTATTTGCAAAACTTGGTACCACCTCATATATACAGACCCACAAGGGTCCGTGTATGTTTTGGTCATTGGATTTTCCTTTCAGAAACGGGTATTAAAAAACAGAAAACGAGTGGTTATTTGATTTTCGTTTTAAAATACAAAAATTAAAATTGAAATACAAGGCGTTTTTCTTTTTCATGGTCAAAAAGGGATGAGCGAAATTTAAAAAATTATTCGATTTTCATTTTCTATTTCATATAACAAAAAATAAAATCACTAGAAAACAGAAACAGAAAAAAGGCCTGTTTTTTCATATTCTGAGACCGGATGTTGTCATTTACAGGACAGTGCTGTGTAGAAGAAACAGTAGGCTAGTAGACTGCGGTCAATCCAGCCCATGAGTCCGATCTCCGTGGTCTAATCAGCCGCACTTAAATTTAGAGTGTGTACAAGTATTCTCAGCATTATGGTAAATGCGGAGAAACGCCGTATTTACTTCTGGTTTTCAAAATAAAGGTATTTAGAGCCGTAAGCTATAATTAAAATATGTTACATTAAAGTGTTGTGCCCCTGATGAATAAAAAAACACTTTACATCAAGTATCTTTACTGCACCAGTGTGGAGAAATGCCAAAATAAAAGCCTCATATTTATGCCTCCAGAGATTGCATATTTGACCGTATTTGAGGTACTGTAAAAACATATTGCTCAGTGTTTCCTGGCTACTGATGGTATATTTGACTTTTACACATATGAGACTACAAACATACTTAATATCAAGCATTTTTACTGTACCAATTTGGAGAAATTTAACAATAAAAGTCCATATTTGTACCTCCAAGTGGTATTTTCATATATTTGAGCTACTGTAAAAACACTTTGCTCAATAATTCCTGGCTATGGATGATATATTTGACTTCTACAGTTCTAAGACTACAAGTATACTTAATATCAAGCATTTTTACTGTACCAATGTGGAGAAATTGAAGAATAAAAGTCCCATATTTATACTTCCAGATTCCATATTTTCTTATATTTTTGAGCTACTGTAAAAACATATTGCTCAATATTTCCAGGCTATGGGTGAAGCATTTTCATTATACTTCAATAATGCTGCAGTAATCATGACAAAATTTCACACAAATGTTTAATAACATCTTGATAATATAAACACTAAACACTAAACACAAAATCCTACACAATTCTAATTTGTTTACTTTTCACACAAAATGCAATGCCAGTCCACATTCTTCTTATTTTGCAGCTCTGCTGTGTCCATTTGTAGGTAAAAGGGAAAAATAATTAGTTTTAACTTCAAAACACCATTGTACCTATTGTCTCTTCCTCACATATTTTTTATATTATTCAGTGTGACAGCTGTTGCAGGTGGTTCCACATACAGTTTACATTTTTACAGTAGCTCAAATATAAGAAAATATGGAATCTGGAAGTATAAATATGGGACTTTTATTCTTCAATTTCTCCACATTGGTACAGTAAAAATGCTTGATATTAAGTATACTTGTAGTCTTAGAACTGTAGAAGTCAAATATATCATCCATAGCCAGGAATTATTGAGCAAAGTGTTTTTACAGTAGCTCAAATATATGAAAATACCACTTGGAGGTACAAATATGGACTTTTATTGTTAAATTTCTCCAAATTGGTACAGTAAAAATGCTTGATATTAAGTATGTTTGTAGTCTCATATGTGTAAAAGTCAAATATACCATCAGTAGCCAGGAAACACTGAGCAATATGTTTTTACAGTACCTCAAATATGGTCAAATATGCAATCTCTGGAGGCATAAATATGAGACTTTTATTTTGGCATTTCTCCACACTGGTGCAGTAAAGATACTTGATATAAAGTGTTTTTTTATTCATCAGGGGCACAACACTTTAATGTAACATATTTTAATTATAGCTTACGGCTCTAAATACCTTTATTTTGAAAACCGGAAGTAAATACGCTGTTTCTCCGCATTTACCATAATGCTGAGAATACTTGTACACTGATTTGGCTGATTTGACCACGGAGATCGGACTCACGACTGGATTGACCGCAGTCTACTAGTCTAATGTTTCTTCTACACAGCACCGTCCTGTAAATGACAACATCCGGTCTCAGAATATGAAAAAACAGGCCTTTTTTCCGTTTCTGTTTTCTAGTGATTTTAATTTTTGTTATATGAAATAGAAAATGAAAATCGAATCATTTTTTAAATTTCGCTCATCCCTTTTTGACCATGAAAAAGAAAAACGCCTTGTATTTCAATTTTAATTTTTGTATTTTAAAACGAAAATCAAATAACCACTCGTTTTCTGTTTTTTAATACCCGTTTCTGAAAGGAAAATCCAATGACCAAAAGATACACGGACCCACAAGGTCCCCAGATGATGAATTCTAATTACTTTGGTGACCCTCTAAGCAGCATCACCGGGTCAAAATTTTATACCATTAAGTACTTCACCAAATACCTGCAAAAGTAATTACAGCAAATCAGCCTCTGCTGTACTTTCGCATTAGCAAATTTTAGCATACTAATATGCCAAACTAAGATGACAATTATACCTGTTAAACATCAGCAGCTGACTAGTCAACCAGTCTCTGGTTGCAGCAAGGCTCTTGTTGAGTTAACCAGTCAGCTGAGCCCTGCAGACACTCACTGTGACAGCAGGTCAGCCAATCAGTAGCCCAGCCAGTCCATCAGAGAATCAGTTTTCCAAGCAGTGAGTGATGAAAGCGGGAGAGCTGAGTTAACAAGGCTGGCCAAAAGTCTCAAACATCTCCAACTACAAGTGGTCAGAGAGGATATGAGGAGCAGAGAGAGGGGATAAAGGAAAGGACAGGAAGAGATGGGAGGACTTGACATGAGCTTAGCAGAAAGGACAGCAGAAGAGGGCTTATGTGAGAGCAGGACCTTGAATTATAATCAGCTTTTGGAAGGTTTCCAACAAGGTGCAGATATTTGTATATCTGGGGCCTGATGTATTGCAGCATTTTCAAGATACTCTGTGATTAATAATAATATGTTGCTATGATATGTACAGACAATGAGCTCTGAACAGATCTGAAACACATTTTCGTACTAATACTGATATTCAGAGTCAAACCCAAAATAATAGAAGTCACATTCACATCACACTCACATCTTGCAACAATCAGCAGAACTGACTCTTTACAATGGATGTCCTGTGTCCATTGAGGATTATGTCTACAAATCTGTTTAAATCATGTAAAAAAAGATGCTTCTTATAGTTTCAGATCTTGTCTCAAAGTCATCAGATTCAAAATGTTCTCTCAAAAACAGAATAATCCAGATTTGGATTGTTCCTGAGGAAATGTATTTAGGGTCATATTTCCTCATGACATTCTTAGGAACTTTTACTGGTTGCAACTGCAAAACTGATCCATTTTGTATCACCGCATCCAAGGGAGCTTTAGCTAGCTAAGACGTTTGTTTCTCCTTGATGACGTGCCATGATTGGTATTCAAATGTAATTGGTCATTAATTTGACATTTTTTTATTCATGCGAATCCTTTATCACACAAAAAAACCTATAATAACTAATATAATAATCATATAATAATAATAATAATAATACTTTTAAATTAACCTAGACTGGCAGTAGCACTGCTTCCACATACCACCCTATGGTGCACTAAGGCCCACCAGGTATGCTGCTTTTACAGTCCCCATGAAGCAGAATCCAGAGAACTATTTGCTTCTGCATATTTAGGCATATTGTGTAAAAACAGGCAGCTAGGGAGGAACTTATTAATATTGATTGGGGTTTACAGTAGCCAATAGTGCTGAGTGTGCGTTACACTACCACTGTTAGGCAGCTAGCGCTATGAGCTAGCATCTGTGTCCACCTTCCTAATTAAAGGTTAGCAATTTTAGAAAGTAGTTAAAGCTATCTTACCATCAGAAATCATCTAAAATACCATTAAGAATACACAAAAATACCTTAAAAAATTGGTACATTTTTGTCATTGTTGCGTGAGATGTAGGTGATGTATCGTCATTTGATAAAAACATTGAATCATCAATTTTGACTTCATAGGGAGACTTAAATTGTAATCTGCAATGTAACTATAGCTATTACATATATGTACTGGATTATTTCCCATTGAATTGTAGTGAAGTAAGAGTGCCTCAAAATTGTACAGTACTTGAGGAAACAGATACTTTTGACCCCTGCACATAACCTCAAAATGAAATTAACTGTGAGCAGACTCGACCTCTGTGTTTCATTTACAGTGAGATTTTGTTTTATCTTTGTGGACCATTAGCAGCTGACAACAAATCATACATGTAAGTGCAGAGTAAGTAAGGATTCTGTCAAATTACAATTTTGTTTGGAGGAAAACTCAGGTCTCCAGGTCTCCTGAGCTCACGGTCACATACAACTACAAACACTAACCCCACCAAACTTAATGAAACTCTACAACAGTACAGTTACACACACCTAAACCTCTCCAGTAGAGGCCAAAAATAATTCAACTTTGAAATATCAGGTAGAAGTTTGTAACACTAGATCAGTGCTATGGGACTACTATACATACTCCATTATTGTCTTATTTCAGGACATCTCGACTGATAAGAAACCAGTGCTGCTGAAGTTTTCAGGACTCCCCACTGAAACACTTGAATGCATCAGTGGAGTCCTTGGAAATGGCATATCTGCCTCGGGAATTTCAAACTCTCCACTGAGAATCATAATGAAATTATAGTAGGAGAGATAGCACAGCCTCCACCTCGCAACCAGAGATCATAAATCCAACAGTATAAACCCCGGACTCTTTCCTCCTCTTCCTCCTTCTCCTCCTCTTTGTCCTTCCCAGCACATCTCCAATCCATCTCTACTTTATTCTCCCTTTCACCTTTTTCTTTAATAGGCCAAGATGATCTTTTCTTCCTCTACTTTACTCCTTTGCACTGTCCCCCAGACCTAAACATGAACTTTCTCTGGGAGGTTCTATTTATCACAGATTGGATTTCTCCCGTTGTCTAGTTCCTCTGGAGGGTACTTCATCTTTGAGTCCCTGCTGGAGCAGAATCTCAAGGCTCCAACTGTTTCTTTCTAGTCATCACTTCCACTTCCACAACAAATATGACACAACTGATGTACTCAGTATGTTTGGTTGTGAGAGAGAAGGAAGGAATATCAAAATCAAAGGAAAGCTGATCAATGACTTTTCTTTCCAGACTATATATTAAAACCAGGTCTAGATCAAAAGGTGTCGTGGTAAAAAGGGCTTGATAAATCTGGGGCAATATTCACAAAGATTCAGAGTGTGAACTCTGATGATGGAAGGTTATCAGGGGGTCAGGGGTCACTGAAGCACTATTGCAAATATCTTAGTGTTGTGTTCACATTCATTTCACAGACAGGTGACTGTCAACTAGGGCTGAAACGATTCCTCGGCTTACCTGAATAACTTGATTACTAAAAATCACCAATGCAAATTCTTTGCATCAAGGTTTTGTTTAATCCATACAACTATATGCAGCGCCTTGTGAAAAGCTCTTAAAAAGAGACTCTAAGTGAGGAACTTTTAGTGCTATTTAGGAGAAGTCCTAGTGGTAAAACGGCCCCTGATGACTTTCTGCTGCTTCAACGACTCAGCACAGCTCACCTTTCCTTCTATATGCTACATCTTTTTAAAATAAAGCATCTAACTTGCACATTACTAACGTGGTAGCTCGACAAAGTTGTCTGTATGCCTTATATTTAACGAATATACTATGCTCTAGAGTGAAGAGAAGCAAGCCTGCCTCGACTTAGGTCATAAATAACAGTCAGCATCACACTGGGAGCTGTAAAGTTCACTGTTCACATTAAATGTTAATTCAGTGGTCGCTCTACAAAACAGCAGAGATGCATTCCCTTTGGCAAGTCAACACACTTGACTGCTGAAATACTATTCAGATCCCATCCTAACCTGTACGTCTCGTCCTCCTCAGACCCCAGAGGAGGTCATGTCCTCCCCCAGACCACTGAATTGCTGTCTGCCACAGATGTATCCCAACATTACCTGATGACCCTGGGCTTTAGGAGGAAAGAGGAAGGCCTCATCCTCAAGAAGATATTCTCCGGGATCTGGCCCTCTCTTCCAGGTTTGTGTACAACAATATATTCACTGAATGTGTTATTACATGTTACAGGTTTTACTGAAGGTGAAAGGGAGCTCTATAGGGCAGCCCTGCAGTGGTACAGGGGTACTTTCATATCTTTACAGGACAAATCTGATTTATTACAACATGGACCAAAGGCACATTTAGACCAACTCAACCCTAGAATGTCAGTGGTTTTATATATGAGTTTCTGAGAGCACTGTGTCATAACAATGACCAGTGCTTTCCTAAAAGACCTAATGTATCCAATTTGACATGTCTTCTGCCGTCTGGTGGATTTTCCTGCAGAAAGAGGCCTTTGACAGCTGTCATGTAGTAATTTTTGGCAAGAAAATGTTTGTCAATTTTGAAAACGTTACAGAAAGAATAACATTTTTATCAAGGGTAACTCAAAATTGGCTTGGGGCGAAGGAAACAAGATGGCTCACATGTAAATATTCCTTACTTCTCAGTATGAGCTAAGGTAACGTTAATAAATTAACAAAACTTTGACACCACTTTTGCAAATGTTAGCTAAACATTCTCCTTGAAACTCTCCTTGTTGCTGTTGTGTATGTATGTCTTACACATTATAGATGTGGTCTACACGTAAGTCACCACCCATACCATCTTCCAGAAGACGCTAAAGATTTTTTTTTTTAAGTCTTAGAGCAAAGGACATTTCAGAGATTTATACTATAAATATTACATACAGTATTTCAATATGAGTATGTACTATATTGAAACTACTTATAATTAACTAACCCAATGTGATTAATGTTTTTTTTGTCAAATCAAGTAAAAAATATGACAGCAGGTATATATAAAAGGTAATTTATCAATTACCGAATGGAAATGAATGTAAAATAAATAGGAAATAACAAGAGACTGCACTCAAAAAAAGAGGACATATTTAACATATTTCGTATTGTATATTACTGGGGACAGATTGATACTTTTTCAGTAATGACTAGAATGTGTGGTTACACCCTAGTATACCACCATGCAACACCAAACACCACTTAAAATGTATGCAACCACACCTCATTACTCCCCTTTTCTTTAGCAGGAAAGTAGTTCAGTGGGTTGAGCTAACCTGGTCGTGGTTAATGGAGCAAGCATGAGTGAAACGAAGTGGGCAAAAGATCCATGCTATTGTATTTACCCGGCATGCAGGAAAATAGCCAAGCTACAGTCTGTATGTGTGTTTGTCGGGGCGTTGTAGTGCAGTGCCTGCTGGCGTGGTGGTTTCTTTTGAGTATTATAAGTCATCAGTCTCCTACATGGCCTGTAGCATACAGGGGTTAACAATGACAAGAATGTCTGAATGCAGTACGCTACTGGCAAGGCTTATCTGAGTAGCAGCTGGATTCAAAATGATCTCCAAATATATCAGAGGCAAAAAAGAACATGGACATATTTTACTCAATTAGAGGCCAGCTACTGAGCATTCAGTTAAATTTCAATTAGGTGAAAAAAGAGAAAAGGCTCATAAAAAATAGACTTTCAATCTTGCATCAGTAAGATTTTTAGGAAAATGCTATATAAACAGGTCCATAGGCAAATATGTCTCAAATAACAGCTATAAAAGGTAAAATAAGGACTGTTTTCTTGAGGTAAAGCAGATTTTTAAAAACAAAATTAATGTACGTAGAAGTGAAAGTAAACTGAATGTTGTCGAGGTACTAAAATAGCTATAGCCAGAAAAGGGGTACTCAGCTGACTGGTGTCTTTGCTCTGTAAAAAAGACACAGGAAGGAAAGGAAAAGTGAGTCCCATGCAACAACAGTACGAAGAGGTGGAAACTCAGAGGTTATACGAGAAGATCCTGCCCATCCTGGATCTGATGCAAGCTACCCAGATTAATGTAAGTAGGAGATCATACACACAAACAGCTGTCGTAAGGGTCAGCAGTCTCAGGGAAGCAACTTCCCAAACAGAAGTATATACAGGTGCATCTCAATAAACTAGAATATCATGGAAAAGTTCATTTATTTCAGTAATTAAATTCAAAAAGTGAAAATCAAATTATATAGATTCATTACACTCAGAGTGAAATATTTCAAGTGTTTATCTCTTTTAATTTTGATGATTATGGTTTACAGCTAATGAAAACCCAAAATTCAGTACCTCAGAGAATTTGAATATTGTGAAAAAGTTCAGTATTGTAGACTCCCGATGTCCCACTCTAATCAGCTAGTTAACTCAAAACAACTGCAAAGGTTTTCTGAGCCTTAAAACGGTCTCTAAGTCTGGTTCAGTAGGCTACACAATCATGGGGAAGACTGCTGACTTGACAGACATTGCCACCCTCCACAAGGAGGGTAAGCCACAAAAGGTCATTGCTAAAGAATCTGGCTGTTCAGAGTGCTGTATCCAAGCATATTCATAGAAAGTTAAGTGGAAGGAAAAAGGTGCACAAGTAACAGGGATAACCTTGAGAGGATTGTGACGCAAAGGCCATTCAAGAATTCGGGGAAGATTTAAAAGGAGTGGACTGAGGCTGGAGTCAGTGCATCAAGAGCCACCACGCACAGACGTATCCAGGACATGGGCTACAACTGTCGCATTCCTCGTGTCAAGTCACTCCTGAACCAGAGACAACGTCAGAAGCGTCTTACCTGGGCTGAGGAGAAAAAGAACTGGACTGTTGCTCAGTGGTTCAAAGTCCGCTTTTCAGATGAAAGTGAAGTTTGTGTTTCATTTGGAAATCAAGGTCCCAGAGTCTGGAGGAAGAGTGGAGAGGCACAGAATCCAAGTTGCTTTTAGTCCAGTGTGAAGTTTCCACACTCAGTGATAATTTGGGGAGCCATGTCATCTGCTGGTGTTGGTCCACTGTGTTTTATAAGTCCAAAGTCAACGCAGCCATCTCCCAGGACATTTTAGAGCACTCCATGCTTCCTTCTGCTGACAAGCTTCATGGAGATGCTGATTTCATTTTCCAGTAGGACTTGGCACCTGCCCACACTGCCAAAGGTGCCAATACCTGGTTTAATGACTATGGTTTTACTGGGCTTGATTGGCCAGCAAACTCACCTGACCTGAACCCCATAGAGAGTCTAGGGGGTGTTGTCAAGAGGAAGATGAGAGACACCAGACCCAACAATGCAGACGAGCTGAAGGCCACTATTAAAGGAACCTGGGCTTCCATAACACCTCAGCAGTGCCACACATTGATTGCCTCCATGCCATGCCACATTGATACAGTAATTCAGGCAAAAGGAGCCCCTACCAAGTATTGAGTGCATTTATATATGAACATACTTTTGAGTAGGCTGACATTTGTGTATTAAAATTTTTTTTTATTGGTCTTGTGTAATAGTATAAAGTATAAATAAAAATGTTCTGAGATACTGAATTTGGGGTTTTCATTAGCTGTAAGCCATAATCATCAAAATAAAATAAATAAAGGCTTGAAATGTTTCACTCTGTGTGTAATGAATCTATATAATATGAGTTTTACTCTTTGAATTGAAATATTAAACAAATGAACTTTTCCACAATATTCTAATTTATTAAGATGCACCTGTATCACTAGCCCCACAAACAAAAAGGTGGATAATTCCCCTTGTGTGTAACTAACAGCTATTTACAGCCACACAAAAAACAGTCATACCCCCTTTCCACCAATGCAAACCTAGTGCTAGTTCTGGGCTGGTGCTAGTGCCGGTTCGGGGTTGGTTAGAGCCACATCATTACGTAACTATGCATCCAATGTTAGCTCATGTTACCAAGGTTAGCTGGCCAGATATTACCCAAGCAAGCATAGTAACTTGTTTCTCACATCAATGTTACATACATTGAACTTAAAATAAATGTTACAAACAAAACATTGACGTGATTGTGAAAAATTAGTAGATATGTGTGTGTGTGTATATAAGTGTTTGTAAAGGGGAGACTTGTGGGAATCAATAGAACCAATTTTCTTGCAGTCAAAGGTCAATGGACCCCTTTAAAAATGGCCATTGCATTGCCTCACAAAATAATTTGGCTTATTTTGTTCAATGAAAGTAATTTTGCTAAAAAAAACTCTCAAAGTAAGGTAAGTAAGTTTTGTTTTGATATTGGGAACAAAACTCAGGTATTGTACCTGCATTTGGATCAAACAATACCCAACCTTATTCTCAAGACAGAATGAGCATTTATCAGTTAATCTGACAGTTCTGGTACTTGGAAAGTGTCTTAGTAAGGTGTCTTTCCAACATGAGCATCCAGAACAGCTTCAGTACTCCTTTTCATAGATTCTCCAAGTGTGTGGAACAGGACTAGATGAATGAACAACATTCTTAAAAAAACATATTGCCTACTCAATTTGATGTTTGGATGATGGTGGTGGACCTAAACTATTACTTCACTACTACTTGGGTTGAAATCTGGTGACTTATGATTTACATGCTTTTCAACTTCATTCAATGCATTCACATCAGTTAATGTGGGTTGTAACACCAATGTAAAGAAACAGACTAGAACAGAATCTAAATTTCAGACCTCTCCTGTCTGCTGTAAGATTGCTCTCTGTAGAGCTAGATGAACATGCACTCTTTACAAACACTAAATAAGTTGGTTGCTTTACTCTTGCTGAGACAAACAGATCACCACAGAAGACGGTCTCAGTTGTTATCCATCTACCTTGGCATTGACTCCAGGCCTAGCTGGCTGGCTTCCAAACTGGGCTTAATGAACTACAGCTGCAACAATCCCAAAAAATTCTCAAAGCCCCATGTGCATTCATTCATTGTCTTGATTACATGGCATCCAAACAACATATTACTTCATCTTGATGTATGATTTGCTCAGTTTGTTCAGCAGTTCATTTGCAAGAGAAGGGGTTGGTAGCCCCAATAGCTGAATGGGCATCTTTCTTCTGACTGATAAGACTGCTCAGCTGCAAGGAAACGACTGATCCTTCAATCAGGCAAAAAGGTACAGAGGCCGTATCACTACGAAGCTGTTATAGAGCCGGAGTTAAAGGAATCAGTCACCCCACCGGTGATACATGAAGACCCAGAGAGAGAGGATTAGAAAAGTGAAAGCGATAAAAAAAAGAAAGAGCAGGGCTTTTGTCCAAAATCACTCCCTTTTTCTATGTACTGTGCACTACATTGTCTGGCATTTTATTTGAGAGTAGCGGTCACAGCTGTGCCAATAGTCTTCACTTTGTAGAACAGTCAAATCACACTGCTTCATATTCTGTTCATCTCGTTCTTGGGCCTGACTTTATTCAATTTGTGAACTGAAAATGGTTCATTCAATCAATGACTAATCATCATAATTAATCTGGGAAATATATGCTTCATTAGCGCTGTCCATGAATGAGTTTCCTCTCTGAAACGGCATGCACTCCAGCTGTTGCTTCATTATTTGCCTTTACCTCCTGGGTGACGGCAGACACGCCATTCATTTCTCAGACTAGCATCTCATTTCACTCTCTATGCTATAAACTGTATCTCACAAAAGTGAGTACACCCCTCACATTTCTGCAAATATTTCATTATATCTATTCGTGGTGACAACTGAAGAAATGATACTTTGATACAATGTAAAGTAGTCAGTGTACAGCTTGTATAACAGTGTAAAGTTACTGTCCCCTCAAAATAACTCAACACACAGCCATTAATGTCTAAACTGCTGGCAACAAAAGTGAGTACACCCCTAAGTGAAAATGTCCAAATTGGGCCCAAAGTGTCAATATTTTTTGTGGCCACCATTATTTTCCTGCACTGCCTTAACCCTCTTGGGCATGGAGTTCACCAGAGCTTCACAGGTTGCCACTGGAATCCTCTTCCACTCCTCCATGATGACATCACAGAGCTGGTGGATATTAGAGACCTTGCACTCCTCCACCTTCCATTTCAGGATGCCCCACAGATGCTCAATAGGGTTTAGGTCTGGAGACATGCTTGGCCAGTCTATCGCCTTTACCCTCAGCTTCTTTAGCAAGGCAGTGGTCATCTTGGAGGTGTGTTTGGGGTCGTTATCATGTTGGAATACTGCCCTGCGGTCCAGTTTCCGGAGGGAGGGATCATGCTCTGCTTAAGTATGTCACAGTACATGTTGGCATTTATGGTTCCCTCAATGAACTGTAGCTCCCCAGTGCCGGCAGCACTCATGCAGCCCCAGACCATGACACTCCCACAACCATGCTTGACTGTAGGCAAGACACACTTGTCTTTGTACTCCTCACCTGGTTGCCGCCACACACGCTTGACACCATCTGAACCCAATAAGTTTATCTTGGTCTCATCAGACCACAGGACATGGTTCCAGTAATCCATGTCCTTAGTCTGCTTGTCTTCAGCAAACTGTTTGCGGGCTTTCTTGTGCATCATCTTTAGAAGAGACTTCCTTCTGGGATGAAAGCCATGCAGACCAATTTGATGCAGTGTGTGGCGTATGGTCTGAGCACTGACAGGCTGACCCCCCACCCCTTCAACCTCTGCAGCAATGCTGGCAGCACTCATACGTCTATTTTCCAAAGCCAACCTCTGGATATGACGCTGAGCACGTGCACTCAACTTCTTCGGTCGACCATGGCGAGGGATTTTCTGAGTGGAACCTGTCCTGTTAAACCGCTGTATGGTCTTGGCCACTATGCTGCAGCTCAGTTTCAGGGTGTTGGCAATCTTCTTATAGCCTAGGCCATGTTTATGTAGAGCAACAATTCTTTTTTTCAGATCCTCAGAGAATTCTTTGCCATGAGGTGCCATGTTAAACTTCCAGTGAACAGTATGAGAGAGTGTGAGAGCGATAACACCAAATTTAACACCCCTGCTCCCCATTCACACCTGAGACCTGGTAACACTAATGAGTCACATGACACCGGGGAGGGAAAATGGCTAATTGGGCCCAATTTGGAAATTTTCACTT